AACAGGGTTGGAAGTCAGCTGATTGAGCCTGCATTCTTGGCTCTTTCAACATGACTTGGGGAAGACTATGTTGTGCTGCTGCTACTCGTCCCTGGGGAACACCCCTGCATGGGCATTCTAGTGCACAAGTTGCCCTGGGTGGGGTAGGGGAGCCTGCCTTACCTGGGGCCCTGGGGGGGCCTCCTGGGGCTCCAGTGATGGTGATCTGGGTGTGCGGAGCCTGGCCAGCAACCAGAACACGGGTCAGGCTGGCCAGGCTCTGGTTTCAGGTGACATGCTGCCACCATGTGAGCTGCCCTGCTTTTGTCTGCTGTGGGTTTTTTTGACACTGGGATCTCCCAGTGTTAAAAAAAAAATCCTCCGCCCTGCCAGTCAGCAGTGACGCAAACGTCTGCATGTGCAACACGTGCAGTTGTGGCTCTGCAGACAGATCTGGACACGCCCATAGGACACATCTTGCTCCTATAGTCATCCCAGAGTAGCCTGCATAATCCTCCTTTACTGCTACTGCGCATCAGATCATTTTATGAGGCATCATCTCCGAATAACAACTATTGGCAATAACTGCTAAGACAGAGCCAGCTGCACTCTGCTGCAGGAATAAAAACTGGACTTCACACTCTTTTTCTCTCTCCTCTTCTCACATCTGGACTCAAAAGGTCTTTACTGAGAGTGTAAGAGGTGTAAAAATCCAGATGATGGCAACATGGTTACAGCCTTAGACATGAAAAGACTGCATCTAATGCAGTGATGTTCTAACTAGCAACTTGGGGCACTATTGAAATATAAATACATAATTTTATTTGCATGTTTTCACTTGCTCTACATACCTACAAGTCTGTAAATTATATAAGAAACAGAAAAATTATTTCCATCACAATGTCCATATTTTTCAAACAAACAGATAAAGTAATCACATGAGATAGAATTGGTATAAATGTTTATTTTGTTACAAAGAGTTAAATACTAATCTAAAAACATGTAAATATTAATCAGGCTATATTAAAACACAGACATACCATTCTTAAAACTAAAATTATCAAACTTTTGAAACCTGTGAATATTCAAAATATACCATAGATTGTGAGCATACAAACAAAATTACTCTGACAGCAGTTGCGGGACATCATATATCCCATGAGGAGAACCCATATGCCTACTCTTACCTCTCAATGGAAGTGGGATTGACTTCTCACATTTATCACAGAGTGCACTCAAGCAGCTACTGTTGAATAGCTGACATGCTATCAATCTGACATCCCTCACCGTCATGGTAGCTTGTCTGTGTACCTATAACCCTAGTAATATAATTTTTCCTTTCCCTAATATTTTTCTTTTTCAGGTATAATGCATCAAGATCTAAAGACTATAAATCAGGGATTGTTTGGCTTGTGGAAACTAGTATTACTCAGTGCAGAAGACTTTCTACAGCAGCCTCTCTATACAAAGCTTCAGTGCTGGCTTGGCATATGTATATATATTAGACAATAAATAAACTGGAAAAAAATTGTATGCAACACTATCTAATAAGCTAAGGATAAATATATTAAAATGCTTATGTGCCTTCAGCAGGACTTAGTCAGAAACAACATGCCAGGGGTGGCTGGACAGGGGTTTTTTAGATCGTGGTTGCCTAACTCTGGAGGTGCCTAAACCTGCTCATCCAGCTC